CCAAAGGACATAGAGAGGAAGACGCTGACCCTCTGTGCTTCCACGTATGGTTTAAAGGTCTTGAGCGTCTCAAATACTGCTCGGCCTAGGAGGACAAGGTAAGACGGCGTCGGGACGCAGCATTGGAAGCAATGTCTTACTCTGAGTGTTGATGGATTCGTGGGCAATGAGAGCGAGCCTGTCCTTCATGACAGAACGCAGCTGGTTCTTTGCAGCTACTAGAGAAGCCATGTTCGCTTTTGAGACGACTGTGAGTCTTGATAGCTAGCAACTGACGTGTGGTCGATGAATCGAAGACCAAGGCTCGGTGTAAGTGAAGCCCTGTAGTACTTTGGAGCAGGGGAGCTCTAAGTGAGGTAAGGTACCTTTGATAGGTAGCTGAAGGGCTTTAGTCCCGATCACCGGTGGACCTTAATCTGCATATACCTTTTATAGAGATGATTTGGTAAGCTTATGTATCAAAGGGTGCCTCTGAGCCACTTGAGCATGCGCCTCACTGTGGCTCAGCTGGATTGGCCTCCATGTAAGAATGACGTCTAGACACTGTGAGCTTTTCGGGCCCATCATCAGCAAGCCGATGGGATACCGAGGTGTTGGTCGATACTGTCTGTGAAGAGCAACACTGCTACGCATACACTGCAAACCTTGGCCGTGTTGGTGCTCCCCAATAGGAGTACCAAAGCCAACCGAGCCCTAATCACAAAGCAACACGCAGTCAGTGGGCTAGGAACCGACCGGTTGGGTGGCCACTACTTAGTAAGTCATGACGGGGGAGGCATAAGTTCTCACCTCCACCGGGTGCTCGATTTCCTGGGGAATATTGTTGACGGCTATGCACGGCCTTGTGGTCTTGCACTGGATGGCAACGAAGGGGTGCGAAACACAACCGGCTGACCTTGGAGGCGCTGACGGACGGTCCAGTGGTCCAGTGCCCGGTAGTCCAGTAGTCCAGTGGGATGAAATCGAGGCAAGGCGCCAACCAATTTGCCAAGAGCGGCGAGAACTCACCACCCTGCTCCGTGACTCTTGTGACGGCTTCATCGGGTTTGGTGTCGTGCTTGGTATTTGGCGAGAATGCCTAGTTGGTGCGGCCTGTATTCGTACAGGTGTATCCCGTGGTGTTGCATGAGCAAAGGGGGGGGCTTGGGTGACCTGGAGAAGTTCAATATAGGCGTCTGGTGTCCCCCCCCCCCCGTTTGACTTTCCCCGGAAATGCAACTGGGCATCTTGGGGCCGTCTTGGGATGGGATGGCCATGTAAGTCTGGGCTGGGCGCCTCGGCCAAGATAGGGGTGAAGGAACACGCCCTGTTGCATGGCGGTTCTCACTCGAGCTGGTACGGCTACGTGGACTTTTGGCTCATGCCTGATCACGAGCCACGATGGTACGGAGGGTCGGAGGGAATGTTGAAGACGGGAAGATTGAAACGTTCAACGGAACCAGAGACAGACACGAGGCGAGTATGGTCTACGGCTACCTAGGCATGGTGAAGGCAACCCCAACTGGAGAGGCGGGGAAAAGAACAGACGATGGGCAAGTTGAGTGAGAGTCTGTCTACCTTGGGATAGCTGGATAGGTACTTATCCTGCGGCCGTTCGCCAATGCTGCTAGATGGGGCGAGTGGGTGACGGTCCTCTAAGGTGCAGCTGTCGTTGCGCCTCGAATCTTAAACGTCTGTAAGGTCGGCCGAAGGACACGGGCAGTGGAGAGCATGACGCTAAACCCAACCCCAAAGGTACTTTCATTACTTCCATTGCCTGCCTGTACTAAGGCAGAGACCTAGGGGAGGCAAGGTACCGCGCCGTTCCAATTGACCCCAACGACGCATCTCCCGCCAAGGTACCTCATCTTTAGGGACGTCCAACGTGCAGTCGGTACCAACGGGAACCTGGAAGGCGTCCCTTCTTACTGGACGAGGGCGGCCGCGGATGCTGGAGCTTGAGCCATCTGCAGGACCTCAGTGAGTAAGTACGTACCTCGAGCATCATGGAGCATTGGAGATCCACTCGCCCTGCAGAGGCAACCTTGGGAACCTTGCAGTGGCAGCCAAGATTTCCCCCAAGCTCCCCGTCCTCCACCAGTCTGAGCCTGTCTCTGCAGTCCGCCTCTGCCTCTCTGCCACTCTCGCCGCTGCGTGCCGTGGTACATACGTCCTTCACCCGTCAGGTCCTTCCTTGCCCTCTCCTCAAATTCAAATACCTTGGGTTGCCCTGCCCCTACATTTTCGACTTGCTTTCCTCAATTATCTTCCCAACACTCCTCCAACCTGACCGTGTTTCCCACCCTCTACCAAACAAACTCATCTGGACGGGCAGAATCCTTCCACTATCGCAAAGGTAAAAATCGCCTTCGCGACCCGTCGCTTCCGCGCTTCGATACCCGCCTTTTCTAGAGCTTCTCCGATCCTCACACAGACGAAGTAGCCGAACCGTTACTCGCCAACTTTGCCCACCATGGCTCAGGTCCCGCCTCCCAAGTCGAAGCTCGACATCTTGCCCAGGATGCAGGCAAAGGGGCCCTTCTCCGTTCCCTCTCCCGGCGCCGAAGCCAAGGACGGCGAGACTCTGCCCCGCCGACTTCCCCAGGCGGTCCCCGACCTCATCACCGTCCCCGGCAGCGGCAAGATCACAACCACCTTTGAGCTCGTCAAGCAGAGCGCCGAGAAGTACGGCAACGCCAGGTGCTTGGGCTCGCGCAAGCTGGTCAACACCCACCGAGAGACCAAGAAGGTGAAGAAGATGGTTGACGGCGAGGAGCGCGAGGTCGACAAGCAATGGACCTACTTTGAGCTGAGCCCCTACGAATACATCACCTTCCACGAGTACGAGCGCCTTACCCTCCAGCTCGGCTCCGGTCTGCGCAAGATTGGCTTGACCAAGGCCGATCGTCTGCACCTCTACGCCGCCACGAGCCAACACTGGCTGGCAATGTCTCATGGCGCTGCCTCTCAGTCCATGCCCGTGGTCACCGCCTACGACACCCTCGGCGAAGAGGGACTCAAGTACTCCATGGTGGCTACCTCCGCCAAGGCCATCTTCCTCGACCCCCACCTGCTGCCTACGCTAGGCAACGTTCTCCAGGAGGCAAAGGACATTCGCTACGTTATCTGGAACAACCAGCACCAGATCCAGCAGACACACCTCGAGCAGCTCAAGTCTGCCCACCCCGAGATCCAGGTCATGAGCTTCGAGGAGTTGCGAAAGCTCGGCGAGGAGAACATGGTCGACCCGGTCCCTCCCGCCACCGAGGACCTGTGCTGCATCATGTACACATCTGGCTCAACCGGAACCCCCAAGGGTGTTCCCCTCAAGCACAAGGCCGTTGTGGCCGCTGGTATGTCTTTCCCCGGAACTGTGAGCAGACCCCCACTAACGAAGCAAAGTTGCTGGTGTGAGTGCCGTTGTTCAGCCCTTCATTGGCCCCGGCGACGGTCTCCTGACCTACCTCCCGCTCGCCCACATCCTCGAGTTCGTCTTTGAGAACGCCTGCATCTACTGGGGCACAACCATGGGCTACGGCAACCCCAAGACCCTGTCCGACAACTCTGTCCGCAACTGCGCCGGTGACATTCGGGAGTTCAAGCCCTCCGTCATGGTTGGTGTCCCCGCGGTGTGGGAGACTGTCAAGAAGGGCATTATCGCCAAGGTCAACGCCGGCAGCGCCCTCGTCAAGACTTTGTTTTGGAACGCCCTGTCTGCCAAGCAGCACATGATGAGCCTTGGTGTTCCCGGCACCGGCGTGCTCGATTCCGTGGTCTTCAAGAAGCTCAAGGAGGCCACCGGTGGTCGTCTCAAGCTTTGCATGAACGGAGGTGGTCCCATTGCGAAGGAAACCCAGCAGTTCATTTCAATGGCCATCGCCCCAATGATTATCGGCTACGGTCTCACAGAGACCACGGCCATGGGCTGCCTGACGAACCCGTTGGAGTTCAGCGTCAACAACATGGGCGCGATGCCCGCGTCCATTGAGATCAAGCTGGTCGACTTTGCCGAGGCCGGCTACTACGCCACCAACAAGCCCAACCCTCAGGGTGAGGTTTGGATCCGTGGACCCTCCGTTCTGGAGGAGTACTACCAGAACCCCAAGGAGACCAAGGAGGCCATCACCGAGGATGGTTGGTTCAAGACTGGCGACATTGGCGAGTTTGACAGCCAAGGTCACCTGAAGCTGATTGACCGCAAGAAGAACCTGGTCAAGACTCTCAACGGCGAGTACATTGCGCTCGAGAAGCTCGAGTCCATCTACCGTGCTGCTGCTGTGGTTGCCAACATTTGCATCTACGCCGACGCCAACAAGGCCAAGCCCATTGCCATCATCGTGCCTGCTGAGCCGGCTCTGATCAAGCTCGCGGAGAGCATTGGCGTCCAGGGCAGCAACCTCGAGGGGCTGGTGCACGACAAGAAGCTGCAGAGCGCCGTTCTCAAGGAGCTGCAGAATGCCGGCCGCTCAGGTGGCCTCTCTGGCATTGAGATTATCGAGGGCGTTGTCATGTCCGACGAGGAGTGGACACCACAAAATGTGAGCATCCTTGATTCATGTTCCCAAGCAACTGCTAACCATTCCCAGGACCTCGTCACGGCCGCACAGAAACTTCAGCGCAAAAAGATCCTCGAAAAGTACAAGTCCGAGGTGAACAAGGCCTACGGTTCGTCTTAAGGGCGGGTCGTTTCCTTCACGTTTGATCATGTGGTTTGATCTTGTAATTCTCCCCTAATTTTGCGGCAACGGATTGGGTTGGCTACGGGACGCTTGATATCCAGGAGTATAGTGTTGTGTGTGTATGTGCGCGCGCGTCCGGCCTTGTAACAACGATTAACCTACCTTTATCCATCAGTATCTTGGCGGGTCTTATGGGTCGGGTCAAGGATGTGTTTTTTTTTTAATCTAGCTCAGTTTCATTCCAAGTGTTCGTCTACAGGTATAACGCGGTGCTCAATTTCATCATCCCATGTGTGATTCGTTTGCATTGTGGATTGACGTGGCGAAGACTGGGTGGTGCCGATGCGTTGTCATCCACCTGAACCCGGCCGGGCCGAGTCGGGGTCCCGGTCTCTGGGTCCGAGGATGCCGTGCCGGCGGGAGTTTCGGGGGTTGCTTAATTGTCATCATGACCCGACCGCAGGCTGTTGTTCCCTTCCATCCGACGACTCACTCAACCTGGCCGACATTGGCCGTCCACAACACGATGGAAACGCGAGTGAAAAAAATAGGTCGCAGTAAATCATTGGAATACCATTCCTGCTAGCCCTGGATAATAAAAGTCGCACTTTGATCACTGCGCGCAGCTCGCCTTGCCCAAAAACACATATAATCATGAAAACAGACCCGAGGGTGTGTGGCGGTGGTATGAGAGCCTCCACCTGCTCCGCGCCACACTACACCAAGCCGTCGTAGAGAGACAGTGCCGACACAATCGTCTCGTCACGTTTGCTTCCCTCCTTGAACTCTTCCATGTCCAGGCTGCCGTTCTCGTCCTTGTCCATCATGCGGAAGATTTTCCGTACGCGCTTCTCGGGGGTGTCTTCGTCTTCAGGGAGCTTAACCATGGAGCCGACCTGCGCGTCATCTTTGTCAGCATTTTGTTGGGAGGGCGGGGTGCCGTGGATCGTGAACGCAACAAAAGCACCATACGCCCACTGAGAAGAGACTCACCATCTTGTAGATTGCCTCGACGATCTTGAGCATCTCATCGTAGCTGATCTTTCCGTCCCCATCAATGTCGTACAGCTGGAAAGCCCAGTCGAGTTTGTCCTCCATCTTGCCTCGGCTGGTAACACTGAGGGCGCAGATAAACTCCTTGAAGTCGATACTACCCGACTTGTCGCTGTCGAAGACGTTGAAGACATAATCTGCAAATGAACTTGGATCACCGAAGGGGAAGAATTGCCTATATATCTTCTGGAACTCTTCTTTGGTGAGCATGCCCGAGGGACAATCCTTGAGGAAGCCTGCCACGGATTGTCAGTTTTATTTCGGTACTGGGAAGATAGGCCTCGCGCGGAAACAGACGATCAAGCATAGATCGATGCTGACATACCCTTGTACCATTGCTGCAACTCCTTCTTGTCGAAATGGGTGGACTTCTGCAGTTCAGCTAGCTGCTCCTGGGAGAGCTTGGACTGACTAGAGGAGTAATATTGTTAGCTTGCGAGTCTGACGATCAAAGCGCGGTTGTTCCATGTTTCTGGAGAGGCGGATCGCCTCAACATGACATGCCCTCGGTCCATTTCTGCCACACAATGGGACCGCAAGGAAAGGCACGTTTGGGGGGCGGGCAGACTTACGATTTGCCCATGGCTAACTACGAGCCTCAACGACTACTTCAGATACCGAGATCCCGGGGGGCAGGTTTGGCTCAGGGTCGGCGGAAGAGCGGGATTGCGTGGTGGTGGGTGGCCTGCGTTTGTCGCGATGTGAGTCGTGGGACGGCGTCGGCGGCAAGAACACAGTGTCGTCGCTCGGAACGAGTGGGCCGATGCCGGCGCAGGCGAAAAGGCACTACTAGTCGCCGAGGAAAAGGAAAAGCGTTGAGTCGAACTGATCGTGGATTTTAGGCGACGGCGGAAGGGAGCGGCGCGTGGTCGAAGACTTCAAAGGAGGAACAAGGCTGGCGACAGAGGCAGAGTTGCGCTCCAAGGGCGGGGGAGGGGAAAGAAATAAAGGGCCCAGGATGCTGTCGCCTGTCGGTGGTGGTGGCCAGGCACTTTGGTGCAAGGTGCTTGCTTCTGACGCTGGCGGGGACAGGACCCGATGATTGCTCGGAAAGTTGGCGGCGGGGGGGATGGGCGGCTCCCTGTACGAAAGTAAAGGCGACGGTACCGAGCGTCCACAGAGTACGAGGTGGCCAAGACGTGAATAAACGGGGACAGAGTATTTACTATTGACCTAGTTGTCGGGCTGGACCGGCAGGGTTATGGATACCTTTACGTGCGGCTTGTGGTTTGCCAGTTGTAGGGAGACGAGGTTGCGAATCTTTGTTACTTGAAATCATGAGATGATAAACAATGAAGAGGAAGATGCTTGGTACGTCAGGTTGTAGAGTTGGATGAAGAATACGCGGGAGGTGTACAGAGGAAGGAAAAAGTCGTGGGTGGAACCTGTCGTAGCCAGGTGCGAATCTGGCCCGGAAGATAAGGTAAGCAAATGTTTGAAGCTATGAGCAGGCGCCACGCACACAGGTCCAGGCACACGTAGCAGGCACGGCACGGCAGGTAACAGCGGCGGAGGCGAAGGACTCGGAAGGAGACGCAGCAATGATCAACGCGACCGTCTGCAAAGCATCCAGGCATTGTGCCATGTGTGAGCACACCGCAGACAATTAATTGGCAGTACTTAGGTCCAAAGGCAAGGAATGACAGTGACGGACATTGCATCCGCCTAGTGGCAGAGCGGTTACAACTGACAGGAGCTCTACGTAGGTGCGCTATGCAGTAATGTCGCAGCGAATCCAATACTTTTGGTAGAGAAATGACCGGGATGCTTGTAGCGTAAGGTACCTTAGTGCTTCATTAACACCCGCCACCTGCCACATCTGTAAGGTGACGAAGGACTGGGATAATTGACTTTGCGTCGTTGAGTCCCTCAACTATGCCATTCGTCCTCGAATTCAGACCTCTCTGAATGAGCCCGTATCTTTGTGAGCAACATTTTAAATGAAGGTTGTTCTATGAATCCGAGACTTGGCTTGATTTGCCGAGGTCAATCTCAGTGTCCAAGTGCCTTGGAGCACGGTTCATTCAGGGTGTCAGAAACATGAAGAAACACCCGACACCAACGAGGAATACGCCGCGATGCGTTGAATAGTATGTTGCGTGGCCAGGTACCATGTATCCCCTACAAACAGCCCTCGGACGATGAGTGGTCGTCGACGTCGACCTTGAGAAGCAGGGGCTTGGCGCTTCGCCCACTAAGACGTCGGCTCATGAACTCAGCCCCCAAGCCAGAACCCCAATCGGCGGGATGCCAGGATTGCCACAGGGCTCACCGTCTCTCTCGCCTCGGGCCATTCGTACATGGTGTGGATGTCGACTGGGATATGTGCCCGCATGACGTTACCAAGTGTCAATCCTTGGGATTAGAAGGCACCTTCCTACGTGCCTACCTGACGACCTGGACCGGCGTCTAAGTACTAGTACACATCTCACACTCATCGCTCTCTCTAAGTCTCTGAGGGCTCCCTCATAGCCTTTGCCCACATCATGATCTGAGTGTCAACCACACCTTCAAGACGGCCTCCAACTAACCTCGCTTTGAGACCCTCAGCCACACTTTGTCAACTAGACTGCCACGCATCTCCAGACTTGAGCAAACTCTGAAGATTCAGCCTCACTCTGGAAACACCATGCGGGCCCTCCTCGTCCGATCATCGAGGCTCGGCCGCTCAACCACCGAAAAACTCCACCGACTCCCGGGACCCAATACTTCGTCCACTTCGGAGCCCATCACGCAAAAGGAAGCTCCCTTGGCGCGCCCCGGTCGTCGCACGAAGAAAACCGCCACCAATTCTTGTGGGCAGGAATGTAGAGCCAACGCATCATCAGGAACGCGATCCACGGTACCGGAGGCCACCACGCATGAACACCTTCCTCGAACGTCGTGTCTCGGTTTGTCAAAAGAAGTGGAATCGTTGTCGTCTTTTCCAGAATACGTCAGGCATTTCAAAGTTTCTAGAGATGATGAAGTAGCGTACTCACCTTGAGCTTGGGATCACCCATTCTGCCGAGCAGCTTCTTCATGAGCTTCTCATACCACTCATCCCAATTGCGGTCGTACTCATTCAGCTTGAGCAGCGAGTCAATCTCATCGCTGAGATGCTCCCGCAGGACGGGCATGAACGAGTCGATGATGCTTTTGAGCTTCCCTCCGCTGTACGCCTCTTCGCCCTTTTGGACCTTGTCCAAGTAGCCCATGTACGCGTGCAGGCCGTCGTGGAAAGCTTCGTGCTGCGCGACGTTGGCCCGCATCAGCCCCGGCACGCCGGCCAGCTGTTCAATCTCGGGGAACACCTCCGTCTCTTCGGTCTCGTGGTGCTCCTCCACCATCTTGCTCCATTCTATCGCGTATGACACAAAGCCCTGAACGTCGTTGGGGGACTTCTCCACGTTGATGCACTGCAAGTAGACAGTGTTGATGATCCGGAGGATGAGATTGTGAATGATGGTCATTTCCTCAGCCATGCGGTTCACACCTGCCGTCTTGACCCCTTTCTGTGTGCAGATGGTTAGTCTTCGTCGAGTCTCAATGGCTGCAAAGGGACTTACCTTGGTTCCCGCACGGGTGCTACTAATGAGCTCAAACGGCCTATCGGCCCAAGGCTTCTTGCTAGACATGGTTTGATATCGAATGTGAGCTTGCGAGACAGATGAGCGCCACCCAGATGAGAATCGACGTTGAAAACCTCATTTTATATCAATACTGAGCGCCCTCATCTCCGCACAACACCGCTCTTGCTATCCAGATCCACGGCGGAAGCGCTTACACGTAGCGCCAGCCAAGTAATCCTCTGGCGTAGAACTCTCTCGCAAAAAAGGTGAGATGAAGGATTCAGAGTGCTGACGAGAGCACCCAACACGGCAACACGTCGTCTTGTCAATCCAAAGAAGAGGCTTTGACCCCAGTGCTTACACCTCAGCTCGCTCTTCTGCTTTATCAGCGCACCTTCATTATCACGTCGTCCCGTCTGGTTGGCTCATCTTAATCCTGATGCCTTGATGGAGGTAAGTCCAAGGAACGAGGACCCCCAGACGACCCCCATCACTGCTTTCATCCTGATTGGCATCGAGCAAAAGGACAACGCGTTCAATAGTGTGTATGTAAGTATATATGCGTCACGCTCCAAAAAGCGAAGACGTGGTGGTCCGTAAAGGGTCTGCCCATATAAACGCCGCGGCCGAAAACAAAGTAGGCTTGCTTCCCGCCCAAATCCCTAAGTGCCACAAAGCGAGAGGAATTGGTGATTAAAGCGCAAGGAAATGATTCAAATGCCCATGTCTCATGAAGCTTGTTTATCCTCCCAAACCAGTTCCGTTTGATGCCGTGCCCTCCATCATCGCCGTATGATAAGAAACAGAATGAACCCCCCGCCATGCGTAAAACACCCCCAAGCACGACACCCAACCCAACCCGGCAATTGCTTTTTGTATCCCTCTCGCGTTCCACACATTACCCGACAACGGCCTTCATGCTCAGACTCTCCAGGAACCCTCCCAGATCCTCCTTCTTGACCTCCACTACGCAGTGCTCGAAGCTGTCTATCCGTACCCGGGCATTGGTCTCCGCCACCACCTCCTGGAACGCCGATCCGAAGCGGTTGAGGCCGTAGCCCTTCTCCTTGGCGTCCTCCTCCTCTTCCTCGTCCTCCGAGTCCGAGCCGTCAGACGCCTCCGACTCGGTATCGAGCTCGTCAAAGTCTGCATCGTCATCTCCCGCCGCCCGACGCGCCGCGCGCTTCTCCTCGCGGATCTTTTGCTTGTTGCGCCGTGACTCTTCCCGCTGGTTGGCCTTCTCGCCCTTGGCCGCCTGCCGCTTCTTGGCAGCCTCGCGATCGAGGAAAGTGGTATCCGGGCCGCCGCCGCCGCCGGTGCCGACAACGAGGTAAACGCCGCGCTTATCGTTGAGGCTGGCGACGACGAGGGGCGTGCCGCGTCCACCGTGGGAGAGACGACCCGTGGTATCCTTTTCCTGCTCGACGAGGGCCTCGCCAACCCAGAGAGCGAGCTTGGTGAGCGCGGCCGGGTGGCCAAAGACGGGAACGTCGGGGCCTTCCTTGACCACGCACATGCGGAACGCTCTGAGGTGCTTGATTTGTTTCTTGTTGATGAGTGATGTGCCGGTGCGGTAGATTGCGCGGTGGAGAAACTGGGCAGTTGGCAGTCCTGCTTTGAGAGCATCGATGCTTCACGATGTTAGTACGTGCTCATGTAAAGTGCGCGAATCACTTACTCTTCCAAAGCGTCGTATGCTTCCCAGAAACGCGCAACCCACTCCTCTCCTTGCGCAGCAACAACCTCCTCGTCGTCCACATCCTCAAACTGGTCTTTCGGTGCTTGCGTGAGCTCGGCGACGTCGTTGTGCTTGCCCACCTCCAACAGAGCACCAATAACGACGCCCACGTCTTGTGCGCTCAGAGTCGCCCGCCAGCCCCAGCTGCGGACAAAGCCCCAGCCGTCCTTTGCGCCAGCGCGGTCTCTCCCGTCCGTGTCGACTGAAGGGACCATGTCGTCCAAGTTGTAAAGAGAAGCATATTTGAGCAGCTTTGTCCGGAGCTCTCTCTTCAACATCATGTCCATGTGCGTGTAGCTCTGCTTGCACTGAACCAGACTGACGCCCATCTTGGCCAGGAGCTTGTGGAGCCTCTTCAGACCCGTGTCGCTCCACGTCTTGAGCCGGGCAAAGAGGTACGGCGAGTGCAGCATGCTGTCGTACAGACTCCAGTGTCTGATGAGGAGAAACTTGGGCTCTGGCGACAGCCTGATGCTTGTGTCTTCGGGGCTGCGGGCCGTTGTGGGGATGATGCCAGAGTTCTCAGCAGCAGACGGACGGCCGCGGACGACTTCGGGCGGATTCAGGCGTCGAACCTCGTCTCTCAGCAGCTGGCGGATACGTGCGCCGCGGACACCCATCCACCCGTTTCCTTGTCCCCGGTCCGAGTTGCGGACGGGCACCGCGATACCTGCAGATGACCTTCCGTACAGCTCCATAGACGTGACACCAACGATGGCGAGCCACAAGAGGTCATTGTCGTCCCGGCCGAGCTCCGACGCGAGAGAGTACATCATGGAGGATATCGGCTCGGAGAAGGAAGCACCGATCTTGTAGTATTTGCGGAGAACGGTCTCCTTTTCTCTCCGCAGGCGCAACAGACGTCGCCGCAGGACCCTGGCAGATGGCGCGGGCGGTGGTTGAGCAGCTGATGGAGGTTCCAGGGGATCGCTCGAGAGAACCATGCCTGCGTCTCGTAGAGATACGAGCCCTCTGTGAGCTGGCCGTCGTGGAGATGAGGGGATCGAGGAAGACTGCTACGTGTTAGTGGGCATGGAAACATAATGACGCGTTACAACTTACAGAATTGCTTCTCCTCCGCTGGTGCGGCCTATCGTCTGTGTCACTGGACTCGTCCTCCTCGTCTCGGTCCGACCAGCTTTTCCGCTTCTGGCCAGCGTGTGCTGGCTCTTCAAAAAGATCCTCGTCCTCGGCATCATCGTCATCGTCGTCCAAGTCGTCCAGGTCCTCGCCGTCGTCATCGATTTCGGGCATATCGAGCAATGCTAGGTAGGCTTCCTTTTCCGCGGCAAGGTCATCCTCAATGTCGCCATCGTCAAACACAACGATGCCCCCCTTGCCTGGCTTGTAGGCGCGATCAATCCGACCAGCCACTACGCCTGGCGGACACCTGGACTGGAGCGAGGCACCTTCCTCGACGGCCGGTTCCAGTGGGAAGCCACCAAATACGTTGCCCAAGTTCCACGGACGGTGCGAGTCCATGACCCAGACCTCGACGCCGCCAAAGGTCACCTCCTCTCCCTCGGGTTCCAGTCCCAGCAGGCTTCCAAGATCAACCATGCCGCCGAGACCGAGGCACACAACAACGCCTCCACTCCCTCCTTGCGGTTCCATCATGGGCTGGACCAAGTCCCGGCCGGCGCGTTCGAGGTCGGCATATCCGGAGACGGGCTGGATCTTGTGGGGGATATAGTCGTGCTTCAACAGGCGAGTCAGGATTCGACATGCGCATAGGGAATCGGGTTCGAGGGCGACGAGAACGAGTACGGGAGGGGACAGCGGGTGTCGCGTGTTCTGGAGGTGGGTGTATAGTTTGGATATCAGAGACCGTGGAAGATACATGGCTAAGAGGATTTTGACGCGTTTCCACGGTGTGTATCGAGCGACTTCATGGGTTGCAAAATGGTTGTTGTCTCTCTTGTGGACGCGGTTGGGAGGGGCTCTACGGCGGGTGCAATGGGGCCAGCGGCGGGCGAACAGTCGCGGAGAGTAGTCGAGAGCAAGCGAAAAGGTGAAAGACTGCAAGCCGTGAGATGCGTAGGTTTGAGGCTCAGGGGCTGAAAAGGACGGCTCTCTAGCGTGGGGTATATCAAAGTGCAGAAGAATCGACGGTGGGTAACAAACAGTAAGTATTCTGCCTCATGGGAGCGTAAGGTGAGGTAAGGTAGGGTAAAGTGGTAAAGGTATTATTTGGTGTGGTGGTGGTGGCCCAGGCCCGAGTCAGAATCGAGTGATTGAGTGCAAAAGTGAGAGTGACGCGCTGGACGCGGTCTGCCAGACTTTAGCGACGCGTTTAGGTACGCTACCAGCTGTTTGCGACGTGCTGATCTGGGAACCTGTTAAAACCACGGGAAGAAGTGGACCGTGCCGTCGGCCGAGTGCACGGATCAACCGATTGCGGGACGCCGGGACAACCCCGCTCCACTTTCAGTCGTCCGTCCTAACGCCGATGAGGACATGAAGGTTCTCACTCCTATTTCCATCTCTACCTTAGGTACCTTACCTACCTTATCAGGTATCATTTGAAAGTGTCTCTCGTTTCTTAAATCTACAAGCTTCATGCCTTGTTGTCCTTGGCTTTTCTATCAAGGTCTCCAACAAAGCGAGCAAACACGAGTCTAACGGTGCGCCCCATACCTTCTCCACTTGGTCGGCTAGTCTACCTATTTTCCAGCCGACATTGGTTGATCAGCGTCCCTCTCGTTGCTCTTCAAAGTACCTCACTACAGACAGGTACTCCGCATTACATAGGTACCTATCCATGAGCCTTGGCTGGCCATCTACGAATTGGACCACGGGGGTAACGGAGTTGTCGTCCGAAGTAGCTTTCAATGGCGCCCTCCAGTGCTAGACGTTAGCATCGCGGGCTATCGGTATCCTACCCATGGGAACCGCTTTGTCTGCTTGAGATGTTCATCAGTAGATAATCCCAGCTCGTCACTGTCCGAATACACGCCACATCCCACATTAACACCCCGCATCACTTCACTGCTCGCACCGACGCGCGCTGTGCACTACTGTCTTTGTATGTGGTGACCGCCATCTCTGAGAGACCGAAACACACTCTGCAGGCTGCTTATGCGCGACCTCCTCGAAACGGCAAAGCTTCGATCCCCTGCTTTTGCTGCTACTTGCCCATCACAGTGGACTTGAAAGAATCGCTTCCACAGAACTCATCGCTCCCGGGCCCTTAATGACGCCGCCCGGCCGATGATGGTATAGACACCGCTCAACATCATACATAGCCGCTACCTTACCTCACTCACGCCCTTGCCTGCCCACACAAACGTCTTCCTATAAGCTCGCCGTTGGATCGGCCCAGTCTCCAACGGCCTTCTATCCTGTACCTCCGCACCGCTGCCGGCACCGCATGCGGCGCTGTTTCTAGCTCGCCGTGTCCTTGGAACCAGACGGACATTCACACCGCTCCAGCCTGTTGGCACCGGTTCAACCGCTGTGCCACCCTTCTGGGCACATTTGGTACACCGACAGCTGCAGAGAAGGGGGAGCTGTTGCTTGGTGATTGGCTTACCATCTAGTTGGTACGAATTCCGATTCCTAGTACCAGGTACTGTTCGTCTCTCAAGTTCCTCAACTCTGGTTTTCTCCCAACCCTTTTCCGCCCGCCCATTACTTTCTTCTCTGATTCCCACGTACGAGTTGCTCCTCTGGTGCGTGCAGCCAGCTGGGCTTGCCGAACGAGTTATCTGCAAGACTGACAATGCTGTGACCGTTCTCAGGCTTGTCTTGCTCGACCATTGTACGTTAATTCGGTAGCTTCGCCCAGAAATGCGCCACCACATAATCCAGCAGGCTTCATCAGACTGTGGTGTTGTTGGCTCATACCGGATACTCACCGATACTTTAGAAATCACACTTACCCTACTTCACCACCAAAGGGCCACCTCAGACGCGGTGAACCGTCTCACGCGAGCGGTGTTGCCATAATCACACCCCTAGTCTGACGGCCCTCGAAAACCGTTTACAAAGCCGCCATCATGAACATGTCCAGCAGCGAGCCCATAGAGCCTGCTCCACCAAACATGTTGGACGAGGACGAAGACTTTGAGGGGTCAGACTATGGAGAATCCCTCGCCTCTTCGGGCTTCACCTCGCTCGCTTCCCGTGTGATGAAGCACTCACACGAGGGTGGAAGGTGCGTAGATCATGTCTTCATGGTTCATCCCCTGGGAAGAGAAACGCGGAAACTAAGTCCACGTACCGTCAGACGCTATCAATCCTTCCTGCAAGGCATCTACCCTCTTCCGAATGATGAGACGGAGCAGTTCCGCGAAGAGATGAAGCACCAGCTTGTAAAACGCCTCCTTGATGAGAACGACTACCTGGCACCAATTGGTGACCACCCGCAAAAGATCATGGATATCGGCACCGGCACCGGTCTCTGGGCCGTTGACAGTAAGCCATCATTGTTCACGCCGGTTGGGACTCTATAAATCTGACTCACCAAAAGTCGCGGACAAATTCCCTAGCGCACACGTTATCGGCGTCGACATATCGCCTATTCAAAATTGTTACGCGCCGCAGAACGTTGACTGGAGAATTGACGACATTGAAGAGACCTGGTCGCCGCTGTACGCCAACTTGGACTTTGTCCACATGCGCTCCGTCTGTGTGACGCTTCGACAGCCAGTCAAGGTCATCCACTCGGCGTACCAGTAAGACCCCTTGTCTCTGCCCGCTATATCAAGTTTCTGAAATAAGTCTCTGACGTCCGTAGAAACCTCAAACCAGGCGGCTGGATCGAGTTCCAAGACGCCGGCGTCAGAATCGGGTGCGACGACAACACCCTACCCCCAGACTACGCGCCCGCCAAATTCATGGACAGGTTCATCAGCACCTTCAAGACGCACTACGGCTGGGACCTCGAGTTCCCAAACGTCCTGCCCAACATCCTGCGCGAGGCCGGCTTCGTCAACATCCGCTACCGCTTCTTCAAGCTGCCCATCGGGCCCTGGGCCAAGGACCGCCAACAGCGCGAGATCGGCCTGTTCCTCAGCAAGGACGTGCTGTGGCAGCTCGTCCGCGCCGTGCTCGTCAAGTGGGCGCAGCTCGGGCTAACCAAGCAGGAAGCCGATACCATGGAACAGGACATCCGGAAAGCGTTCCACGACACACGCATACATGGATATCTTCCGTGGATCTCCGTCTGGGCTCAGAAGCCGCCCACCTGAGGCAGGACGCTGCGGTCTTTGCACTCTTGGATGAGATGTGTTTGATGGTAGCCAGCCAGCCAGCCAGCCAGACAATATCACCCGGCCCGCCCGCGCAGGTCATGCAGCCGCGACAGGCGACGGCGAGGCTGTGGCGTTTCGGTACGCTCATCAGTGCCCTTTGGCTGATTGGTTGATGTTGGTGACACGCCATGCATTGTACGGCGTGGTTCGACTTGCTGGGAGTGCGGGCACGCGCACGTCTGACAGCATTCGTGTCGGCACGCTTCCTGGTCAAGCCACCACTCGCCTGGCGACAGGAATGCTCGTCGTCAGTCGGCAGTCGACAGAGAGAGCAAGCAATTCGTCCGCAATCGTTCGCAAGGCTGGCTTGGCGCCAGTCGACGGCAAACAACGTTGCAACGTGGCCAACGCCCATCTTTCATTCAAGCGAGAAACACTCCGGACCCAGATCCATTTACGTGTTTGCCCCCCGGATCGTTTACGGTTTTCTTCCATAAGTTACATACACGTCAAAATACCCATGCCTACGTACATCACGCCACTCTGCAATGACATTGGCGCTAAAGTCCCAGACCTCCTCTTTCCTCCAACCCATGAAGCGGGTGAAGAGGGCCAACGTCATGGACTCGAGCCCGACACTGAAGTTGGCTTCTGTCCAGACGCCCAGGGTCTTGTGCTTGACGTCGCGCGGCCACTGGTTGATTGGCCACTTGAACTGGATCCGCACAATATCGACGAATCCAACGCTCGCCATCATCTCGGCCGCCCTGCCGCAGGTATCCAGGAGGAAGCCCGACCTTTGGCCGGCCTCCATCATCAGCTCGTTCCATCTGCCGAGGTCGCAGTCTGGCGGGATTGTTTCATCGTCACACCTCATGGGGAAGTCGATATCCTGGATCTCAAACCAACCCCCGGGGTTTAGGTTGCTCGAGACCACGTTAGCTGATGGGCGCCTACAAGGGGAGATGACCTACTCAAAGGCTTGTTGGTGGAAGTTTTGCCAATCCCTAAAAGCGCCCGTCATCATCATACAGTGAACATAGTCAAACTTTCTAGAAAAGCTCCACTCCTCCTCGAGGTCGTCGATTTCGTAATGCACGTTTGGCGGTGTGCTGGAGCAGTCAGATCTGATCAGTCTTTGTCATTCTGCCACACTCACAAGCCAGGCTGGACGGGCGAGAGATCTACGCCGACAACTTCGGCTTCTGGGTGTGCCTCGCCTGAATAGAGTCAGTAGATGTGTCATATTGAAGAGAGACTACTCGCCAAAGTCTATGGCCCACAGCCCTATGCCGCAGCCGACATCTAGGACTCTGTGGGGATGGTGGATCGGGGCAAAGTTGAGCCTGTTTTCAAAGGTCAACTGGCAGAGCTGATATTGAAAAGCTGCGAATAGTTAGAGGTCTGTCAAGCCATGTCGGAGCAGGGGCGTACCTTGTCGATCGAGTTCTTCCTAGGCATGTGAACACGTTAGATGCGGCTCATCTGAAATGTACATACATACCTGATCAGTGGGCAAGACATATTTCCCGTCCTTGTATCCGTGATAGATTCTTCCGTTCTCCTCACGTGCCCGTACAATGCTTGATCGGAGTGATGCTGTTGAGGATGGCCATGCCTCGGACTGCCGTCTGTTTAAGCGTTGTTTTTGTCTGTACGCGCCCCAAATTACGTACTTCTCCCAGTGCTGAGTCTACATCACTCCCTCCAAGGCTTTGCATCTCGGCATCTTCAATGTCCTAGGATAGACCTTAGTAAGATGTCCTCAAGATCCCAACTCACAGACCCCTTTCCCGAGTGCTGACCTCATCTGGTTCCAGATCAACGTTTGTCCCGTGCGGGAAAACAATGTCTATCTGATGCATCGCATCAGGCACTCTTTCGGTCATGTCGATGGTTTGTTGTCGAGATCTGTGTCGCAGTTCCAGTAAACAAAGGGAAAACTCCAGAAACAGGAATCACCCCATCAGAGACGGAAGACTGTCAAGGCGTATCAGCTTGATATCCCCTTGCCGCTGCCAAACGCCTGTTGAAAAGGGTAACGGACGACACCCGTGCCGGCGAGGGGAATCGTTCGGATGGGGTAATTGTGACGAGGCGACACAAAGAAGCAGCTTGCTTGTCATTCGAGCCTTCGGCTCCGTGTCACCAAAGGCGGTGTGCTGTCAACAAGTCCTAGTTGGCCCAACGAAGCACGCAGCGCATCACGGTCAGCAGTAGACGATGCGTGAGGTTAGTTGAACCCCCTCTCGAGAGCCTCGCCAGACCGGAGAGCAAGCTGCTGCTGCAGTTTGTTCCAACAGCAAAGCTTGATCCCAACACCTTTTCAGGTGCTTGGCGCTATCCGCAGGTGGCTTTGGTCATCACAGGCACAAACATACAGTAGCGGCAGTAACAACACTGTGTGTGTTGGCGTGAACGGTGCCTTACACAAACCGTATGCACGCGTCAGCCATAGCCGGAGTTTGTCGGCTTGGAGTGTCCACCGAGCGAGCTTTCAGTGCCCAGTCAGGACACGATACCTTCCACAGGAGGAAGCAGACGTGGTTGTGGCCGACGTTGCGGCGTTTTGAAAGCCGGGAAGCGTGGCATCGTGTCATCGGCCGTCTCGTCGAGAGCCGGATGCCTGCATATAATCATGCAGAACATCGGGTGGGCAGGCAAATACGGCCGGGTTTGTTGCCGCCGTCAACTGTCCAAGTTGCTAGCTTGATGCTGGTGATGTGCGTCGTGGAGAACCAGGGGAATAGAAGAAAAGCCAATCACCACGACGACGAGGGTGTTCCCGGGACTGACTGCTGTCTTTGAGCATCGGTGTAACCAAACTAGAGTGGCTGCAATCCGGCTCGGGAGGGGCACCACGGGTAGCAAACAGGATAACGGCTCATGGGGAATCTCACATCGAATGTGACCACCCGTATACATGGTTGTCGGACAAGAGCTGCAGGATGGAGTTTAGCTTAAGTATTGCTGCTCATCTACCATAGTCTTGGGTGGCATAGTACTTATCACAGTTTGATGTCAATCCATATAGACGAGTCGGGTTAAAGACGTAGAGTTATGGTGAATAGCCTTTTTCGCGTGCTTGGGCGAGGTTGTCGAGATACCATCTGTCTGCTTCACCGAGATGCCTGTCATATAGTAGCCTCTGGCCGGAACCCGATGTCATGCGGGTGGAACGGGACGCTGCATATGACGGCTCACATTTCTATTTCTTTGCTAGAATGATTGAAGAAGAGTAGGATGCTCGACGGACGGAGCGGGTGGGAAAAGAGGTGAAGAGACTAGGGCGGAGGGTTGGGCCACGAGACGTGGTGATATTGGTGAATGACAGAAGCCATGATCCATCTTGCCCGAAGGAGGTGCTTGGGATACCTTACATTAGCCACCCTCTCCATATTCAATGGGTGATGAAGTGAGAGAATAGACGGAGGTGCGGTGTCTTTCTTCACCCCAGCTGCCAAATTCACAGCTTCCCTTTCCGAGCTGCTTGCTGCTTGCTGCGTTCTGCTTGCTCTTTCCATCCCATTGCTGCGGAAAGCTCTTTTCCTGTGGTCTGTGGGTGGTGTAAACTGAATCAGACAAAGGAAGAAGGCGCTCTCATCGCCCGCTGCCTGCCGTCTACGCATACTTCTACGCTGTTGCCCTCCGTAGAGGTTGCCGAGTGTCAACTGCCCGGCCAAACTTTCCTTCCCTCTTCAAGTTTACTCCTCAGACTCACTCTCATCATCATTCTCTCACTTTTCTCATCTTACAAACTCACTCACTTCCTTATCCGACTCAACCCTCGAAACTGTCCCGTCACTTTCAACAATCCGAGACATTATGGCGACCATCGAGGAGCTCTCGGGCCACATCTGGAACCCGCTTCTGCTGTTCTTTACGGCCCTTTTCATATATCTGGGGTCCTTGAGCTACCGTTCATGGAACCGTCTCAGACACATCCCCGGACCACCAGGTGCCGCCTTGAGCAAGTGGTGGATGCTACGTAACACACTAGGTGGGCAGATGCATCTCGCTCTCAAGCGAGCCTGTGATGACTATGGTGAGTTCAAAACTCTCATCCCAGAAACACCACCAGCTCGCCTAGCTAGGTGATTTGTTCCGGGGGCCAAAAAGGGTCTCAGACACACATGCCGCCCAGCCAGGCAACATCAAGGACAAACGGCCTGTTTGTTTCGACAGGCTGCTGACAGGGAACTTTGCTTTAGGCCCGGTCGTCCGCATCGGACCCAACGACTTGGTAACCAATGACTCGGAAATCCTTCGCCGCATGTGGGCGGTTCGCTCGCCATACCGCAAGGGCGCCTTCTATGAGGCCGTTCGCTTCGACCCCACGAGGGACAACCTCATCTCCATGAGAGATGACCACGAGCACAACGAGCTGCGCGCCAAGATGGCCATTGGCGTAAGTCTGCACTCATGTCTGTGTCTTTCCATACTCACACTGATCCCAGTATTCGGGTAAGGAGAATGAAGGTTTCGAAACCACCATCGACAGTCAGATACAGGCCTTTATCAGACTCATCGAGGAGCGATACGTGTCGACCACTGGTGCCTTTCGCCCGATGGACCTTTGCCAAAAGGTTCAATACCTCACGCTGGATATCATCACCTCCCTTGCATTTGGCTACCACTTCGGGTACGTCGAGCAAGATGCCGACGTTCATCAGTACATCAAGATGACTGAGCAGAGCATGCCCGTCATGATGACGCTCTCGGTATTCCCGCACCTGGCCAAGCTGCTGCAGTCGCCCCTATTCCGCCAAGCCATGCCCTCGGAGCATGACCGCGTGGGGTTCGGCAAGTTCATCGCGTGGGTAGCCCTTTTCTTTCTGGCTGTAAGCAACTAACATTACTAGTGTTGCTAAAAAGGTCGTGGCAGAGAGGCTCATGTCGGACAAGACGGCCAAGCGGCGAGACATGCTTGGATCGTTCCTCGCACACGGACTAACTCGAGAGGAGGCCGAAGGCGAGACATTGGTCCAGATCATGGCCGGGTCCGACACCACGGCGACCGCCATTCGAACGACCATGCTCTATCTGATGACGTCCCCCTCATGCTACTCCAAGCTCGCCAAGGAGGTGCGGGAGGCGGCCAACGTGGGCACAATCTCATCTCCCGTGACCAACCGCGAGGCGGGCGGCCTTCAGTACCTGCAGGCGGTCATCAAAGAAGGTTTGCGGGTGTTCCCTCCCGTCACCGGTCTCATGTCGACGACGGTGCCCGCGGGCGGCGACTTCATGCACGGCATGAGCATCCCCGAAGGCACCGACATTGGCTGGACAGCGTTTGGCGTGCTACGCTCCAAGGCAGTGTACGGCCCGGACGCCGACGTGTTTCGGCCTGAACGGTGGCTCGAGGCCGGCGAGGACGAGCTGAAGGCAATGACGGCGCAGTGGGAACTCGTCTTCAAGTACGGAAAGTGGCAGTGTCTCGGCAAGACGGTTGCTCTCATGGAGTTGAACAAGGTCTTTGTGGAGGTAAGTTACGGCGGGACCTTCCTAATTGTCAAAGTAAGAGTCTAATGCCGCGTATAGCTTCTTCGCCGTTTTGACTTTGCCCTGATTGACCCCGCCAAGTCGTGGAGCTCATTCTCGGCCGGCATATTCATCCAGTCCGACCTCTGGGTGAGAGTTCAGAAGCTCGGCTAGTCAGCTCAAGACTCGGACTTAGAGGCGCGTCGACCGTCGAGGGTCGAAGGGGTTGCAGGGAACGGAAACTCTGCGTACAGTGGTGAGCCAACTAATTGGCTTATAGATTGGCATATATGGCAGAGGCAGATTGACAATACACACTTTCTTCGTTGAATTGCGTGTGCGGACATGGCCGAGTTAACCAGGCCAAGACGCACAGGAGATGAAGACGCCCTAGTGATCGGAGGGCGTTGATCGTCTGTGAAGGGAAATCCCGAAAGCGAGTGTCCGCGAACTCCGGCCATCCGAGTCATGCAGGGTGAGTTCAGGAGGGCTGAGATATTCCCGTGTAGTCCTCCATCATTCACGCACACAATGTGTTCAGTCAAACAGGTCACCTGGAAGCCGTCTCGAAAAGTCTGGTGATGAGGTTGCGAATGTGATCAAGTTACGGATACAGAGACACCAATGGTCAGAGGAGGTTGTTGAGGTTGGTAGCTCCCCGCACTATTGCCATCCTGTGGCTTCCCAACGCAGCTAGACCTGGGGAGCGGACTTATTTCCCCATGGTCGACCAGTCTAAGCGAGCCCGACAGTCCGCGTGCTGCACGATAATCGGCCCGCAACGTTGTTCTTCTCTTCGTACTTCATACTTGATAAAAAAATATAACCCACTTCACAGCAATACGTAGTAAGGCAGTAAGAACGTCCGAAAGCTGACTAGTTACTCCCGTCGAAGGAACCGAATTGACTTTTGCTCGCACTTGTGTGAGAAACTCTGCCAAAGCAACTCAGGGCATTAGACTTCTAGAACGAAATGACGGATCCACGACGATCCCCTATCCCCAATGCTACCCAAGAGACGCCATCCCTGTCCGCGTTCGATTTGGGATGAACACGCAGGGGTCTGCAGCACGATGATGCCAGTAATAAACTTCGAGAGCTACTATTGTTGTTCTGTGCCCACTGCCCAGCTAGGCCCGCACTTTGCTATACGACTATGTCTCGGGGGCTATGTTTGGGATATAAGAGTTTCCCATCCCATCGTCGACACGAAATGCTCTAGTCCGGCACCTTCACCGAACACTTCAACGACTGAGGAAGTAAAGGCACGATCACCATGAGTCTAACAAAGACCCTATTCTGTGCCGTTGGCCTCGCTGCCAACGTTGCACGCGTTGCCGCCGCCGATCTCGACGACTTCATTTCAAGTCAAAGAACCATTGCGCTCAATGGTGTTCTGAGCAACATAGGACCTGATGGCGCTTCGGTTGCAGGCGCAAGTGCCGGCATCGTCGTTGCCAGCCCTTCCAAGGCCGATCCCGACTGTAAGTGTGTTCACGAAAACGTGTTGTTCTCTTGCTGACTTGGCCAGACTTTTTCACGTGGACTCGCGATGCCGCCCTGACCATGAAGATGATTGTCGACGAGTTCATCCTCGGACACGACGAGCTCCAGGTTCATATTGAGGACTACTACAAGTCCCAGGCCGTTCTGCAGACCGTCGGCAACCCTTCCGGATCATTTCTACCCTCCGGTCGTGGCCTCGGCGAGGCAAAGTATCTCGTCGACGGCTCGCGCTTCAACGGCGAATGGGGTCGCCCGCAGAGAGACGGCCCGGCGTTGAGGGCCATCACGCTCATCACCTACTCCCGCTGGCTCGTCGACAACGGGCAAGAGGCCAAGGCCAAGGATATTGTTTGGCCCATCATCTCCAACGATCTGTCGTACACTGCTCAGTACTGGTAAGCAGACTAATTTCTCATGGCTTTGCAGGCAGCTCACAATGATAGGAACTCAACTGGCTTCGACCTGTGGGAGGAGGTCAACGGCTCCAGCTTCTTCACCACCCAGAACCAGTACCGCGCCCTCGTCGAGGGAGCTGCGCTGGCCGAGTCGCTCTCCGTCAAGTGCACGGGATGTGAGTTGGCCCCGGACGTCCTCTGCTTTCTCCAGACGTACTGGAACGCCGCGGACGGCTACTACGTCGCCAATGTCAACACGCAGACGAAGCGCTCCGGCAAGGACGCCAACGTCATGCTTGGCTCGATTGCCGTCTTTGATGTGGCCGCGAGCTGCGAGGACCCGTCCATCCAGCCGTGCCACAGCAAGGCTCTGAGCAACTTCAAGGTCTGGGTCGACTCCTTCCGCAACGGCACGCTGTACCCCGTCAACGAGGGCATCGCGCAGGGTCAAGGTGTTGCTCTCGGTCGGTACATCGAGGACACGTACTACAACGGCAACCCTTGGTGAGTTGCGCTTTCAAGGTGTCAAGACGTTCAAGCTAACTAGCCAGGTACCTCATCACCCTCGGCGCCGCCGAGTTCCTCTACGACGCAGTGGCGCAGTGGAACGCCCACGGCCAGATCAAGGTCGACGCGACCTCCCTCCCCTTCTTCAAGGAACTCTACCCGACCGCCAGGGAGACGACCTACCAGAAGAACAGCAACTCCACTCTCGACTACGCCGGCATCGTCAAGGCCGTCAACGCCTACGCCGACTCCTTTGTCGAGATCGCACAAAAGTACACACCCGCCGACGGTGCCCTCGCTGAGCAGTTCAACAAGACTACCGGATCCCCGACCTCGGCCCGCGACCTCACCTGGTCCTACGCCGCCTTCGTCACCATGGCCGAGCGCCGCGCCGGCCAGTGCCCGCCCAGCTGGGTGCCAGAGGCCGCATCAGAGGTTCCCGCCACCTGCGCCGCCTCGACCACGACCGGCGTCTACGTTCCCGCCACCGCCGCCGGCGCGCCCGACGTCACGGGTTCCTGCACCGTGCCCGTCACCTTCCTCGTGAACGCCACCACCTACTACGGCGAAGGCCTCTCTCTCCTGGGCAACATTGCCGAGCTCGGCGCGTGGAACGTCGACAACGGACAGCCCATGTCGGCGTCTGGGTACACCGCCGAGCGCCCGCTCTGGAGCGTCGACGTCGAGCTTCCCGGCGGGTCCAACGTCAGCTACGTCTACGTGCGGAAACAGAGCTGCGGCTTTCTCTACGAGGAGAGGAACCGCACGCTCACGGTGCCGGCGTGCAACTCTACGCAAAAGGTGGTCACGGACGATGCGTGGGTTGGAAAGACGAATGGCTGCTAAAAAAAAAAGTACAAGTGCTATTCGCTAGCACGTTTGAATTCATTACATCGTAATAAAGATGGTTTAAGGTCCAGGTAGAAAGACCCCAGATACTTTGATAGACCCCTAATTTCCAAACATGTTGTTACCGTCCGGGTTGCCCATCATGCCGGGTCCGCCGCCAACCATGCCGTTCCCGCCCATGGGAAACCCACCGAAACCGCCTCCAAAGGCCCCGTACGTGTCCATGTCGTATCCTTGCATCAGGTAGCTCCAGTCCATGTCGATGACGTCGGCCTCGGACGGAGGCGGGTTCATCACTGGCGTGCCCGCCGTCACGGACGGCGGTGTCATCATCATGTTTTGCGGAATCTGCTGCATCGGGAGCTGCGACGCGGTGTTGTTCACCGGCGCTGCCCTGCCCACGCCACCCGCCTGCTGCGAAACGCCGCCGCCTGGTGGAACACCGACGCCGGGACCGCCCATGCCCATCTCCGGCCCGGGCCGGCGTCCACCCCCACCCCCACCCCCACCCCCGTGCTGCTTCTTCCCCATCTTCTCCGCCCGTTGCCGAAGTCTCGTGATCCACATGGGCTCCTGCACCGGCTTCTTCCCAATCTGCTCCTGCCCAGCCGCGTGCGCGTCCCACGCTTTGATGAACAGGTTGCCAAACGCAATGTGCATGGGACTGTGCAGCGTGCTCATCAGACCCCTCCGCTCGTGGTTCTCGGCGATGGCGTCCCACGCGCGCTCGACCATGGTGCCCGTCAACCTGTGCCGCAGCTCCGTCACCAAGAACATGTACGCGGGGAACGGGAAGTGGAGGTACGTGTACCACTTGTACCCCTGCAGGCTGTCGGCGGCCTGGACGACGTTGTCGTACTCAATCATCTGGACGGCCTCGAGGAAGAGCGTGTCGCGCTCGTGCTCCGCCAGCGTCGTCGCCTCGCCGTTGCCCATGCGCACGAGGAACGAGATGACGCGCATCTTGCAGAGCGATTGTCGCGTCATGGTGAGGGTGAAGAAGTGTAGTGGGATCTTGGGGTCGCACCACTTAAGGTACGTGCCTTCAATGTGCGCGAAGAAGCCGTCGAGGGTGTAGACTTGGTCCTGGCCGGCCATGCGCACCGTTGAGATGGGCCGCGGCGGGGCTTGGGGGCCGGTACTGGTGCCGGTGCCTCCGCCGCCGCCGGCGTCCTTGTCCTTGTCGCTGTGGCGTTGACCGTCGCGCAAGGTGTCGCTGCTGATGGCCATGGCCAGCTCTGTCCGGATGAGGACGAAGAGCATCTCCGTCACGCCCTGATGCGGGGTCGGGGCGTCCTTGCCGTTGACGTGGAGGTCTGTGTCGTTGATGTTGAGGGGCAGCTTGCAGTCGGCGGCGGTAGACAGGGCCGTCACGGTCGACCCCGTCATCTCTCCTATCCGGCGGTCGTAGCCTACAATGGTCCACCACAGCCGCCGGCGTTGCTCGACTTCGTACGGCGACAGGCCGAATGCGGCAGCGTCGCGGTGGAGGCCCATACGTTGGGCTATCCTCACGGCGATACCAACGAGACAGAATATTTGCCGCGGGTCGACAAACATGCGAACGGCAATCTAGCTTGTCAGCGTGCTTCCTCGAATGTTGTATGATGACTTACCAAGTAGAGCATGTAAGCCTGGAGGACCATCGTATCACTGGTCCGCATGAAGCCTGCGTTGACCAAGGCTTGCTGAAGTGCGGTGTGGAACCTTGACAGGACGGTAGGCTTTGGCTCGTTGAACATCTTTGCCACGTCGACGTCTTCCATGGAGGTGACTGCCATGAGGTAAATAGCAAACATGAGCGTCTCGACGCTCTTTGGGATCTTTTCGAGGTTGGCGCTGGCCTCGATGATAAGGCCCTGTACCGTTGGCACATGCGTTATTTTGAGTAAGGGGTTGACGTTGTTAATGTAGATTTGCCACAGTTGAAAGATTTGGATAGGTGATGGGTGGAGATGCGTCACGGAGGCGTTTCGACTTCCCACGATGAATGGAAAGCCGTCCTGGTTATCGTACATCTTGTCAAAGGCGTGATGGATGGTTGAGCCGTCAACCTCGTCTTCTGACGAGTCTCGCAACAGCTCCTCGCTAGCTCGAAACTGAATCCAAGTTAGATGTGCGGATGGCAAAGCAAGGTAAGAAAACACACCTCTTTGTGAAAGGGAAACCATTTGCTAAATGGCCTAGTTGGGATTGAGTTAGCTGACGATCAAGTGTAAGGGAGTGGGCCTGCGCACTTATCGGATTGTGATCTCCGACTCCCTGCCACGGAAGGGGATGTGCTCCCCTCGGGCGAGGTCTTTAGCCCCTCAAAGTCGTTTGCGAGGTCGGCATCCTCGTCGAGCATGTGGTCGTCGTCAAGGTGTGTCGAGTTCCTATCGCCGGCCTTGAGCTCGGCGGCGATGGGGTCGAACTTGACGCCATTCTCCGCCAAGAGGGATTCGTACTTTTTGAGGCGGTCGACGAGATCGCGTTCCTGAAGACGCTTCTTGCGCCTTCTGGGCGGCTGTGGTGGTATTACTCGACACTCTACCCTGGCCTTGACGCAGTTGGCACACGGCTTGTTCTTGTCGCAGCGGACTTTTCGTTGCTGGCACAGCACACACGAGGTCCCCCTGGTAAGCTTCATCGCTGCCATGGGGTCGGGTTCGGGTGCGGGTGGAGGAACTGCCCTCGGCGGGGGTGGGAGCTGGGCTTCTCCCGACGACATGGTTCAGTATTATGTGGATGCCTCTCTCTTGAGATGCAACGACGACGCGACAGTCAGCCACCTTGCAGACGTGGTTCGTCGGCTGGCTTGTTCCCAACTCGGATCCGAGGGGTGACGTTTGCAGGCGAAACGTTGACGGGATGCAGCATGTGAGTCTAAAGAGTGATATCCAATGAAGAAGCACTTCCAGATGCTGCCGCCAAACTTCTTGCCAGGATCGGAGGAGGAAGCTGTATTATTGACCGAGACGCTATCGACGTGATGGTGTACAAGACGGTCCCGGGATAGGTTGAAGTGCCGTATCCTGTATGCGGGCAGTGTAGATGGCCAGGAACGAGCAGGCAAGAGCTTAGAGACGGACAATCCGGATCACAATTCGTACAAAACAATCGAGGTGGTATGACAGAGAGTATGCAAAAGTCACATACGGGGACGTCTAGCCTATGAGACGAATAACATGACTGTCAACTTGGTCAGTCCGGTGCTAAGAATTGAGGCTCTTTGCTTAACTTGGGCCTCTCGTGCCTTCTCGTGTTGAGACTACAAAGGAAACTGAATGGTTGTAAGATGAACATCAGAGGAAGCGGGGACTGCGGTCAGCTACGTTACCCGCCCGGGACCGAAGGGGGACCCGTCGGCGCTGGCCTCCCCGTGGCCCGCGCCTGCAAGAGGTCGAAAATGGCCCAAGCTCCTTCAGCTGAAGTGCGTAGTAGAGACCCTTAGGTAAGCCGGAGATTGCTGCGAGATACCCGAGCACCCGGCGCTATGCCGGAAGAGGGCAAGCTCCACCCTTTGCCCGGACACAACATCGACCTCCGGTGCCCGAGCAACTGCAACGCCATGTCCGTACACCACCAAAAGACAAGGGCGAGAACTGGGCAAAGCATCCTTCTCTGGACATCCCCATCGGCCTTGACAAGTCGGCTTCTGGATCTCGTCATGACTTTCTTCTTGTGAGACATTCCTATGCGGGCTATGATGGCCTTGCGTGGCTTCGCGTCGCGCCCTCTGCCTGTCACACTATGCTGCCGGCCACCGCGTCCAAGATAAGCAGGCAGGGCAGAATGGCGGCGATGGCCAGGCTCGCCATATATAGCGATCCTCGCCTCTTAGTTCCACGACCCCGTCCTAGTGTCTCTTCCGCCAGACGAGCTCGTGGTCCGAACGTGATCTGTAACTCCAGATCTGACCGTGCGCTCGAGAGTCCGGACGAACCTCTAGCTCCCTCCCCGTTCCATTAATCAACATTTTCCCGCTGCCAAGCCCCAAAAGATTTGCGCGTGCTGCATTCTTTGTTTACATTTCGTGGCTTCATTCGAAATCTTCCAGCTGCCCAAATCCTCACGACAGCTTCAACATGGCGGACGCAGGTGCGAGGCCCGTCGAGGGCGATACTGCCTCAGAGAAGACCCGTGAGGTGGAGACGTCCAACAGCTCCACGCGGACCTTGACTCCGAGAGAAAGCGACGAGCGGCAGCAGAAGAAGTCGTCCGAGGAGAAGCCCATCGAACCCGAAATTGAGAGCGAGAGACCAACAGAAAAGGCAACAGTTCAGTCCTCGGCGATATCAGCAAACGAGAGCCATAACAATGTGGCCAAGCAGCCAGACGTCGACGACGACGTCGATGAAAAGGCCGATATCGAAGGGGGACCATCCACGGGGCCCCCGCCCGTTTTCGATGAAGCCGAGGAAAACTTCAAGCCGAAAACCATTACCTTTTGGCTCGTCATTTTGTCCAATTTTGTAGCAATGTTTCTCGTTGCTCTGGACCGCACAATCATTGCCACGGCCATCCCACGCATCACTGATGAGTTTCAAAGTCTTGGCGACATTGGCTGGTACGGTTCAGCGTACATGCTCACGACTGCGGCCTCGCAATTAGTGTTTGGTAGAATCTACAAGTTTTACAGCCTGAGGGGGTGAGTCTCGATGGTCACTGACTCTGTAAGCATGCTAACACAACGGTAGAGCATTCCTTGGAAGCATCCTCATCTTTGAGATTGGTTCGCTAATCTGCGGTGTGGCGCCGAGCTCGTCGGTGCTCATTGCGGGCAGAGCCATTGCCGGTGTTGGTTCGGCTGGCATCTTTACGGGAGCGATGATGGTCATGATTCCCATGATCCCGCTGCACAAGAGACCCATGTTCCAAGGCATCTTTGGCATGGTGTTCGGTCTGGCGTCTGTCATTGGACCCTTGGTTGGCGGTGGCTTCACGAGCAACGTCACATGGAGGTATGTGCTTCAGAAGCCTATGGGCTGTGGCGCAACTGACGAGACGCAGATGGTGCTTCTACATTAACCTCCCTATTGGAGGCGTGGCGTTCGTCTTTTTGTTCTTCATGCTCAAGGCTCCCAGGCGGCAGCCTCAAGAGCCGGCTACGCTGTTCCAACACTTTAAGCGTCTCGACCCCTTGGGAACGTTCTTCTTCGTCCCCTCCGTGGTATCCCTCCTTCTGGCGCTCGAGTGGGGCGGATCAGAGTACGCGTGGAACGACGGCCGCATCATCGCCTTGTTTGTCGTTTTTGGCGTTGCCTTCATGGCCTTCGCTGCCGTGCAGGTCTTTATGCCCAAGACCGCCACTGTGCCTGTCAGGATCATCAAGCAAAGAACCATGCTGGCGGGTGCCTTCTTCATGCTGTTCTTGGCCGGCTCGATGATGCTGGCCGTGTACTACCTGCCCATCTGGTGTAAGTAATGCGATCAACATTAATGGATACGTGCTGACAACCTCCAGTCCAAGCTGTGCAGGGAGCCAACCCGGTCAACTCGGGAATCTACACCATCCCTCTCGTCCTCAGCATCGTGGTATCCTCCATCATCTCCGGTGGCGCGACGCAAAAGATTGGATACTACGTCCCATCCATGATCCTCTGCCCCTGCATCATGTCCGTGGGCCTGGGCCTGATGAGCACTTTCCAACCAGGCATCAGCTCCGGCCACTGGATCGGCTACCAGTTCCTGACCGGATTCGGCCTGGGCTTCGGCATGCAGACCGTTGGGCTCGCGGTACAGGCGGTTCTCCCCAAAGAGGACGTGTCGACCGGCGTCTCCATCAGCTTCTTTGCCCAGCAATTGGGAGCCGCAGTCTTCGTCTCCGTTGGGCAGTCCATCCTCAGCAACCTGCTCGTGTCGGAGCTCTCGGGCATCCCGGGGCTGTCTGCGCAAGCCATCGTCAACACTGGCGCCACCAACCTTCACACTGTTGTGCCGGCGCAGTTCTTGGACGCGGTTGTCCGAGCGTACAACTACGCCTGCACGCGCATCTTTTTGGCCGGTATGGGGCTGTCTCTCGCGACGCTCATCTGCGCCTTGTTTATGGAGTGGAAGAACATCAAGAAGAACAAGAAGCAGCAACGGGCCAAGCAGCGTGCCAGCCAGCTGAGGCCAGGAGACATGGGCGCGTAGATGAATGAGGGTGAAGTAATGATAACGATTAGAGTATGGACATAAATTCAATATATACAGATCAGGGTAGGTAATAATAAGTTGTTATGCCATCGCGCGGCCCTATCTACACTACAATTGGACAGTCTCACTTTGAGGTAGAACTAAAAAGAGTTCACCCCCCCGGTGGCGAATGGGGGCTACATCTCTTGGTGCACATGTTCGGATTATGTCGACTCGAACTCGGGACCTCTGAGCCTTCACCGATTAGGCTGTTCGTGGACTTCAACCACTCCACCACTCAGCCAATTTTGACCTGACCCCCAAAGGGGCGCTTGCTGGCTGGTGACAGGAATGGACCTGAAGGGGTATATGAGGGCTGTCAGTCGTGGTGTATTCGAGATGCTGGGTGAATATACATTGGATGATTCACGAACTGTAGCTGACTTGCTGTTGAACAACGCTGAATTGCGGGGTGGGCAGCAACTAAGCAATATTCTAGGCCACAACGGGAATAGCTCTACAGGGCATGCTATGTATAGATTCTCGTCTTCGTCCCAACTACCCGGATTCAAACACAAACACACCTCCTAATCTGGTCGCAGTTCTTCAGCTTTCATTTATCGAGTCCGTTGCTAAGTTACCGAACACCGGCCTTCGACGGAGGGTCGGCGAGGTTGGTGGGGCCAGAAATAAAGACGAAAGAAACTCCACGCCAGTAACGACAACGGATAATGACCGAGTCGCGTCAACCTTGAGTTGGATTCGCCCCATTCATCAAATATAATTAGCCTGCGCGTTGCGGTTGACCGCGGGTAGCCTCCTTTGCCCGAAAGTCTACTGTCCAGCCCACAAGCTTTGGTCCCTTATAGTCAACATCAACTTCAACGACGGCTCGGACTGGCATCCTGATCTTGTCTTGGCATCGAGCACGCCGCCAATGCTACTCAATCGGGCATGGACAAGGAGGAGGAGATTCTCGTCATATTACTCCATGATTGCTATGACTGATCAGCCCATCGCGCCGTTACGCAACCCATCTCAGCCCTAAATAAACAGACAAAGCCCGGGATTACTAGATCTGCCGGATGCTTCGTCACGAATGGCATCTACATCACAGGAAAGCGGCATTGCCACGCCTACGCTAGAGAAGGCAATCATCACCGCGAAGCGAAAAAGAGCAAGTAAGCCCAAAGTGCGGACCGGCTGTCTGACTTGGTAAGTCTCTCGGAACCGCTGTGATCAACCTTAACTGACTCGGTGGCAGCAAGTAAGACCTCAACTTGTGCTTGGCCCCCCACCGATACTAACTCGACCCCTAGAATCAGACGCATCAAGTGCGGAGAGGAGCGGCCCGCTTGTTCGCGTTGCACGTCAACAGGCCGGGCTTGCGACGGCTACGATAAAGGCTTGCCATTTCGGCCAAGAGACAGCGATGCTCTTGTTCCCCAGGCTCTACTCATCCGAGTCTTGTCTGAGAGCCAGAACCCTCGATTGCTGCGTCCCCTCGTTGCCGACATTGACGGTACACACACGGAGCGCGTCTACTTCCACCGCTTCCGCCGCATGGCAGAGGCCGGCCTCTCCAACCATGTCACAAATCTCACCAGTTTC